ATAGTAGATTGGAGTATGTCACTGTATTTGGCGAATGACGTACACAATTGTATGGCATCATACAAGAAATAATTCGAACAACTCATGTCGTATATGGTCACATTGAGTGAGCCTGGCAAGGAGAGGGGGCAGACATCACAATTTCAGATCCTCAGGTGCTGCTTGATTAGAAGGATAGCGAAGGCTTGATCACATGAAGAATGAGATATGGAAGCAAAGCACATGGACGCTTAGAAATGATGTTAGCGAGAAGGAGGTGCTCGTAAACGAGAAAAGACTGTTTCTTTCCACTCGGCTGATCAGCATCGATGACCTGTTCCTACAACCGGTTCTGTTCACACGATGGTCCATTATGGCTGACACCTTTTGCTAACCCATTCAGCAGTAAAATTATTTAATCGGCCCACCACTTTAAATGACTTCTAATGCTTTGTTCGTTTGAGATCATATTCCACTAGAGGAATTTCTTACCCGCTAAAAATTAATACCTCGCCTCCTCCCGCCGGTATTCAGAAACAATGCTCCTATCATGGCGCAGCCGTAGCTTAGGTTTTCACTTTTTGAGAACGAGGTGGCTGTCCGCTGGTTGATCAAGTTAATTAATTTGTTAATTAACCAAACAGCTTGGGCTGCAATGGGCGTATTTAGAATTCACTGCAATTTAGAAAAGGGAATAGTTTTTGGAAAATGTCCATTTCAGCCATCAATCACAGTCATCGCATTTGACATCAATCAATGTTCTTATGTTCTTCATGCATAAGTTTCCAAAAATGATACCTTACCACTCTCTCAGGACTCCATACATTACGGCATAACTAAATATTGATATTATTAGGTTCGATGCGTCAATGCTCTCTAGCTGTCCCGTACGTCATCATGCTGAAAAGCAAGTGATCTTTTCATCCAAAGGGTGACTAGGTTCGTCTCACAACAGCTGGCCGAACCGTCAGACCGTTTAATGCCCTCAACACCATTGTCCGCTATCCATTCATCTAGTTCCTTTCCATTGACTTTACTCTTCAAGGCTAACATCGATATGGTTTGCCATAGGGCTTTTTAACATGTACTGGATACTCTGCTAGATGTTACAAGCCAGCGCAGTTCAAGTAGGCAAACTGATATCATGAATAAAGTTAGTATCTCGTTTGAGGAGATTCCGGTCTCGTGACATGTCCTCACAACATCACTATTACTACTGATACAATATCGCATTGAAGTTGTTGTTATTGTAGTCATTGCCTTCTAAGAACAAGTAAAGAAATCTGCATTGATGACTTCTTTAGATCGTTCATTCATTCGGATGCTCCGATCGGCAGTGGTTGTTCAATTCGTAGAGCATCCGTGTCTCTAACATAAGTTCGTGAGATCAAGCCCCAGTCAGGTCATTCCCCTCTTGTTCTTTCCACGTCAATCAGCGAGTGCCTCTTCGCTGAGATGACACAGTAGCCTTAAAGCTATACTGGTCATCCAGTTGTAATCATCGCCTTCAAAATAGGAAAATCCTGACTAATAACAATGAAATGAAAAGTCAGCCTCGCATCAGAAAGTCCGTGAAATGAAGGGTCCCTTCTGAGGAGTAAGGGGGACCAACATCTAAGCGATTGCAAACCTTGCACTCTGTATAGACATCCATCTCTGCCTTCTCTTCAGCAAGCTGAACCAGTCAAGGATATAAACTTCAGAAGATGGTCGTTTTTTCCTTGCCTACATCGATTGCTTCAGTAACACACAGGAACAAGAAAAGTTTGCAACCGTAGATAAGCCTCTCTCCCGTCCGAACATTTTTACAATAATCGTTATAGTTATTTGTAGTAACCTGTTTTCATGAAGTTCATGGTGCGACTCGATGTTTGTTACGATGCTATATTCATTTCTTTAAAGATAATGTAAACGACGGATGGTCCCTTATTGTCCTTCAAAATGTGGCAGTCATCTGTCTACCTCAGGAAGGCGAAAGGTCAATGGCTCGGTCAGGATTAAGGGTTGGAGTTTCTCCGTGGAAGCCAGGGCTGAAGGACCTCCTTCCGCTTGCCTAAAAATCTACATGTGTATATGCAGAGGTACTCATGGAAGCATAGCGACTAAAGCCGAAAAGAACATCACCAAGCATCATATGATCTATATATTTCAGATACAATCGAATCCTTGATAGAATTATTGATAAATATGTTCCTTGTTTCCCCTTCCCTCAGAGTGGAGGCATCCGGTGAACTCGACAGAAATAACATGAATAGATTTATGACCTACTGATGTCTCCAACAAGGATCAAATATTGTCTGCGAGATTTCTCATATAAAGGTAAAAACTGCAGCCAGTAAAATCTCCTTACCATGCTGAACGTAGGCAGGATCATTCGTAATTAGTTTCTTTTACTGTTCAATTGGAAAGCTCTTCATTACTTGCAGGCATTTTCTGATGTACTTAACCGCTTCTCTTCTGGTTCTTGCTGTTTTGCATCCGGATCTATCCCTACAGTTCTGACTCCACTATTTAGATTGTCATCTGCATATCGTCTGCAGCTCTTCGCGATTTCCTACAGATCGAGACAAGCCATGCGTAAAGAATAAGGTTATTTTTAGGCAAAATCCCGGACCGGATTGACGAACAGCATTGATATCAAATGACTACAATATCCTAGCTCTATTCAGTCTTGGTTGAGCCGCAAGCTGCAATAAAAGTTTGTATAAATTTACTGCCAGTTAAATTTTAGGTTAGGGGACTGTTTAGAAAGTTAAACGAGGGTTACGTTAATGGATCAATGAATTTTAAGGGTAATAATTTTGACCCGTTAATGACGAGTATAAGAAAAAAATTTTATGGTCAGCATGAAACTGTTTTGCTACGTTAGTGATGCAGATCTTGTCTTTCTTTCTTTCTTTCTTCCTCGAACCAAACTAGCGTGGGTTGGCATGTAGAAGCAGGATGTGCACAAAACAGAATCGGTTTTATCAGATGGCATAAGTCACTCGGTTGCACGCTGACGACGAATGAGTCATAAACTAGTCCTTTTCATAACGATGTTCCCAAAAAGTCAGTGGCACAGTTCTTTTTTGGAACATTTCTAAGAACTCGTGTACAAGAGAATGGATCATATGTTTTCGACGCTGCGGAAGGCACAGTACAGGTAACGTTTGATAAATGTCGACCAGTTCGTAAGAACACGCGCATGAGGAAGTAAAGCGAATGGTGCCTTGTAACAGATGAGAACCGCAATTGCCTTTGGAATGTGGTATACATTAATTATCGTAATGCGTTCATCCGTTTTGCAGAGGACGGCTCCTCTTTTATGAAATTTCAGTTCGCACGTTTCGGTCAAAATATACTCATTTAAGTCAAGGCCGGTTATGACGAGGAAAAACCGTCTCTCTTCAGTCATCAATCAACGTGTAATCGAGGAATTCACCGGTGCCGTTCAACAGCTGTGAAACATGCCTTCACACTGACTACAAGTGCGTCGTGAAACATGCCGAAACTGGAACAGCTGCTCGCCAAACTATCGAAAGAGCCCGGTGCATATGAATGGCCTAAGAGAAATAGTAAATCACCGACATTGCACCAGCAGCAAACTCGAACGAATGAGGAATGGCTAGATGTAGTGGAGCGAAAAGATTTTAAACCGAGGACATTTGAAGGGACGAGTCTCAGCCGTTGGAATAAAGGTTTCAGTTGCACTTTCTAATTTGGCCTCATTGACGGCATCCATTTTTCATGCGACTGACAGTGCGACTCTGCCCGCCGTTTATTATTATTCTGCCAGGAATGACTTATTGTATTTAAAGCCATATCTGCATCCAGATGATCCACCAGGGCGTGCAATGTCCATTTACCTCCCCACGAAGTGATATTCATTTATGCACCTTGAAAGGAGGAAACTCGATTGATCAGATCAGAACTGAAACCAAGTGCTCTTTGATTATAAGTTCGATACCCTGCCAACCTGAGCTGTGTCAGCCAGTTTGGTACATATGGCGAAGTTTAGGCCAACTAACAGTCACACCAAAGTCAATGATCAGAGGCCAGGCCAGTCCTCATTTAGTACATTTCGACACCATAAACGACAACTGCATTTTCTCAAGGTCACTCCGTCCCTACCGTATCGATCGTGTTTTGTCCGTATGCACCTATGTCTGTCAAATTGTGCACCGGAAGTGACAGAAAACGTCTCGCGACAATCGTTGTACTCTGTTAATGGCTGGCATCTCTGTTTGAGATCGGCGTGTCCGTAGTGACAAGTCGAACAACTCCCGGTGACGAAAATCTGCTGGACTCAGTGTTCGAGCATTATACAATGAATTTATGCTAACTATATAAATGTCTATATAACCTGTTGTCCATGCTCCCGGCGGATCATCAGGAAGAATGTCTGATTTCAGACAGATACCATGTTCCAGGTGCTTGATTTAAGTTTACTCTTCGACCATATAGCAGGCTGCGCCAGTTTTTTTGCCCGAGATGTTGAATCCTTTCGACGCAAGAACCGGCACTGCACTGACGCTCTTTTCCTTCTGACAGTCGTATGGTGACAAAAACTTTTTCGTTTCTACCCTCCATATAAGGTTTCTTTCCTGTCTGCCAAAATGAGGTCACACCTGTCCTAAACAGCACACTTCCAGTGACATTTTTTTATAGCTGATTAAAACCCGATCATGAGTCTAGCGGTGATAGAGTGTCAAATAGGCGATTTAGTGACTCTACATTTTTCGAGCATGAAGATTGGGTAACAGAATGCTGTGTAACGAGAACGGTCCTGATCCTGGATGTTTGGAAGCTATGGCGTAAGAGAAGTGATTCAAGGCTGCGTGCTGT